CAGTGAAAAGTTACATTTACAAAAAGAGTATTTGTTGCAGCTTCATGCATGGCATTTATAACCTCCCTCATACAAATAGTTAAAGAAAAAAATACAAACTCCAACTAAAGGAAGACAAATATTTTACATTTGTTTGATATTTTGTATTCTAAGCAGTGAATTTTCAAAATGGAATAATCCAAGACGAGGAACTGTTTGTAAGTTCAAACATTTTGCAGGACTTGAAGGTGCTCAGAGTAATGTTGTTTATTTGCTCAAAACTAAACTGTCCGTTCTGTATTATAAAGTGCGGTGTTTGGGAATGAGGGCACGCTGTGTGCTTTGACATGCATTTCAAAGAGACATGTCAGAGTGAAGTGCATGAGGACTCCAAGTATGTTTGTACAGCACAGTGGAATCCTTTGTTGCACCCCACCTGTTTTGGGTCATTAGTTAAAGTCTTGTCTGCAGCTGGTCGTTTAGGTAAGCCTGCAGTCACAGCTGGAATGACCAGCTGTCTATGGTTTGAAACCATCTCAGATGTAATTATGACATGACATGAGAGAGATCATTTACTGGTGATGCCAGGTTGTCAATGAGGGTCCATCAGATGCATTTGCTCAGAATGTAACATAGAAATTAGCCATTTTGTTTATGCTCAGCTTTGATAATGCTGTAGTGATGATGGTATTTAATTTCTGTGGAAACGGCATGTTAAATGATGAATGCAGATTATGTTTAACTTTGCTTAAACTCTTGAAATTGATGTAGTTTTGTTTCCATTTCTCTTTTTTATTAAACGTTCTTTATTAAGTCTTGGTGAATATAGACTCTCAATCTCAGTTTCTTTTTTGCAAAATGTCCTCTAAAATATGACTACCAATGTAGAGCTGATTGTTAAGTCCTGAACAAAGCCTAAAACTGTATGGCAAAAGGGCTCATGTTGTCTTTTCAGATACAGCTGTCCTCAACGGCTTCAGCTGGTGGACCCCTGCTAGGATTTGTCTCATTTATGTAAATTATGTCTGCACTTTTTTAAGACACAGTGTGAGTTACACCACAGGCAGCCTGAGAATTATATGGTGGCAAACCACAGAAGAATAAATCAAAACAACTTCTATTTTTCAAGACAAACTTATCCACCTGTAATTTTTTTTTTATTATTAGGAGCAAAACTAGTAAGTACCAGAAGTAATAAAATTGCAGGAGAATATGCAGAGTTTATAGAGATTTCTGTGATTATCAGTGAGCTGAACTATGCCAGAATGTCCCACATAATTACCGGTAGTCATATACAGTACATGCAATAAGTGAGTGCTGCATCCCTCCCTCTTTCTTATGACGTGAGGTCAACCGCTGTGGAAATGAAATGAGCATCAACAGGAAATGGCAGCAGGAATGGGGGTGTGCTGTAATGTCCACAACGTGCCATATGATCCTGTTCTACGCTTGATTAACAGCACCACAATTGCAGTTTACAAAAGGAAATGCTATACCTGTCCATGTAAGTAATGGAAGGACTGATTGATTTTAAATGTGGCCAAAGAAGTTCACAGGTGCACAAACACAATGACTGCATGACAATTATTGTAAACAATGCTGGCAGAGGAAAGTGAGTAACTTTCATGTGATAAACAGGGAACTGTTGATAATAAGGGTTAATGTGGACATTGGCTGATTCTCAGAGGTTTGATGGAGACAAAATTTGTTTGTTTTACAGCATTTTAAGCAAATATACTGTATAATTAAGCCCAGAATGCACTTACAGGAAGAAGGTTGGAGTGTGTGAGAAATGTTATTCATATTTGTATAATTTCCTTGAAATGCAAATCTGTAAAAAAAATTAAAAAAAAGATTACAGAGCATATGTTATAATAGCATAATATAAAACTTAAATTCCTGTTAATTATGTTGTAGCTTATCTTCTGTGGCATAAAACCTTTGATTTTCTTGTGATCAACATGGAGAAAAATATTCTGACTGCAAAATATTTAGGTAGCTGCACAAGCTAGCCTGCTGATAAATGAGCTGCGGAAGCTTGAGAGATTTAGGCAGAGGCGTGCATGCTGCAGCCAGCTGCTCAGCTTTGCCTGATGAGTGCTGAATTTCTATTATTGTTAAGAGTGGTGAAAAGAAATTTCATCACCATTCTAATACTTGCATGGAATTTGTATCTTTATCCTTTTTTGTTTGAGAAATGCCAATGAAGTTCACCAGTGCAGACACTGAAGGTCCTGTTTAGAATAAAGCTGTTTACAAAATATGAGCTGTTTTACATTGAACTATAGTACTTAAATACTATATACTATAGTCACTTTAAAATTATTGTATTTGGACACAAACCACCATATGTGTTGAGTAAAGGTGTTGTAAGATGAAATATATGTTGTGTTTGGTAAACAAATGCACAGAAAAGGAGGGGATAAAATGAAAACACACATTTAATTTATCTAACAACCTTGATGCTGGTCTTAGCTGAGAAAAAACATTTGATTACAGATGTCAGTAGCACACATGTGCAACCACACCTGTGGGGTATTTGACACCTATGCTGTGTCAAATCAATAATTTCCCCAAAAATCTCTGCTCTAAGACTTTTGATTTCAGAGATACTGTAATGGGTGCTGTTGTGGTGTAAATGAACGGCCAAACCACAACCAAAAAAAGTTGCATTTCACTTTAAAAAAATGTTGTATAAACAGAGCTCTGGTCTGAGTGGAGATTTTCAGGGGAACCTCCCGCAGAGCTGTCCAAGCTTCACAAGTGACACTTGTCCACTACTGGCATCTGCAGTCAAAAGTTTTTCTGCACCAAGAATAGTTCTAGTAAATGGCAGAGAGCAGTGTTTTTTTGCTTCTCACCCTTTTTCAGCACATAAAAACCAATCAAATGGGGCCAAAGGGATGTTAATATATTAATCAGTTTGGAGTAACTGTGATCATGTACACAGATTTTTATATACTGTATATTTTTACACTTTATATTTTTGCTATTGTTGTGTGTAACTGGGACCCTGTGTACATAATTTCATTCCACCTCATGTACCACATGATGAGAATGACAATAAACTTGACTTGAACTTGAAGTATACACATGCACACTTGCAAGTAGTTATCTGATTGACCAATCCATCTGACCTGTGTAAAAGGTAGTAAGGCTGCAGTATGGAAAAAGGAAAACGGCATAAGTTTCATTAGCTAAGATCAAAACTTTTTTAACAAGGGTCAAAATACCTCTTTCAAAGCCAAAAAGATGGAATGGAGAAATTCAACAATTTTTTTAGCAAACAGGCTGTAAAATATTCTTTGTGAACTTTACCAACAGCAACCAGTGTTTGATTAACATTGCTGTGATAAAATAATATTGTGAATTGACATTATAAGTCAAATTATGCCTTATTTCTGCTTAGTGTTTGAGATAAATTGCAAAAATTGGGAGGTACAGAATTGCTTGCATATTTACCCCAAGTCTGTGATAGCATCTCTGAAATGAATAGTGTGAACATTAAGTGAAAAAAAAAAAACTTTTTTCGGAGCCACACAAAAATTATACAGTAATAATTGTGGATTTGTTAGCAGAGCAAAATAGACAAATCAATTCAGTTTATTTATATAGTGCCTAGTCAAAACAGAAGTTATCTCAGGTCACTGAACAAAAACATTCACATTATAAATTCCAATTAGTAAAGTTTTCCATCTAAGGAAGGAAGAAGATTATTTAAAAAAGCTACATTGTTTTAAGACTTTTATTATTGTGATGTTTTTAAACTAAAGAGTAACATCACACCTATCTTAACCAGTTGTAAAACTGTTGACGACTTCAGTTTTATTTTGTCACTGCTGTGACCAAAACTGCTATAATATGCTTATTCTTTAACAAAAGGTTCAAAGAGTAAATTTTATAATAATCAGTTAATATTACTCAATTTTTGGCACAGTTTTTTTTTTTTAAACAGAAACAACAGTATCCTGCTTTTTTATTACTCAGGCTGTGTGAGTATCTCAACCATTCTGCCAATATACTAAATTACTCAGTTTTTGTTGTTGGGTGTCTGCAATTTACCACAATAAAATTTTAGTTTATTTAGATGTTACAATTTTCCAGGTTTAATGGCATGCTTATGTGGAAAATAATGGTAGGAAAGCTACTGAACTATATTGTTTTGGGTGACTGAAATTTTTAGAATTATTCACATCTGTTTACTTGCTTTCCATGTGATGTTCATGTTTAAAAATAGGTTTGATTTGTAATTAAGGAAATGCCATGTGTCCAATGTTTATCATCTTGATCAAACAAATGCCCTTGACCCAAAATGGAATAAGCGGGTAAAGATAATGGATGGATGGATGGATGGATGGATGGATGGATGGATGGATGGATGGATAAAACAAATGTGGCTCTGTGGAGATGGTGTTTTTGTCCAAAATGGTGATTTATTTTCAGACACATAGCAATTATTTTAGGTTCAGTTGAATTATTATAACATCCAGTCATTAAAATCAGTGTTGGGTTAGCAGGAGGTCAAGCATAAATTACTCATAGAAGTAGTTTTATGAGTTCATTTGCAATAAAAACTAAAAATTTTCATGTTTACAACATTTATATGTTTTTGAATAGAATGTTTTTTTTTACCCATAAAGTGGTCTCATCTTGAGTCTGACAATTGGGATGTCATAGGTTGTTTGGAAGCTAATTATAACCCTTTAGGTTTGTGCAATAGTTTATTGCTAAAATTTGCATTGTGTTGAAAACATTTTCACGGCAGGTCAAAAGTGTGCATATATTTATGCACAATTTTATGTAACATTAATTTTGTTGCATGGCGGTGTGCATGAAACCTGGTGTGCAATACCTTTTTGTGTACACACTGTCAAGGTTGGCCATAAATGATTTCCTGCTGTAGTGTTGTTTTTTTTTAACAAAGATAGATCCACCAATTGCTTTAAGTTATAGTTTTAATAACATTAAAATATTTGTTAATTTCTACTTCCCTCTTTTTGCTATTTCTATAAATTGAGCAGGGGGAGAAAGAGAGCGGATGACCAACAACCATGAGACCTACCTGCTTATGGCCAGCTCCCAGAATGACATGGAAGATTGGGTGAAGACGATACGGAGAGTCATCTGGGCACCTTTCGGTGGAGGTTAGTGTAAACACAACCATTGTTTTTGAGTTAAGGTCTGTGTGAGTAAAGTTTAAATGAACTAGTCTTTATTTTTATTCAATAAGAAGGATTGAGTGGTTCAATTATAGCTTCCTCATGTCCTCAAGTTAATCACCAATTAATTAAAATCAGATGAGTTGAAGGAAATGTAGTGAGACAGGTCGGTTAGCTTCGTTAGCTCCACTACATGTTATAATATCTGGACTAGTTCAAGTACCTGATATTATACTTAATTTAAACGGGTTCTCTCTTTTTCGAGCTACTTGACAGATATGTGACAGAGATCAGTGACGTGAGACGTTAATTTTCTTTGACCCATCAAATGAATGCGGTCATTTATTAACAGAATCAAAGTTTAACATCAAACATTGTACACGTGATTATTCTGATTGAAGCAATAACACAGCTTAATTACAACAGACATTTATGAAAATATCTGGATGATTTACTGGCAAGATAGAAGAGTTTTAAAGATGGGAAATGAAGTTTATCTGGAGAGAAAAGATGTGTGAGGGAAAATGTGTCTGTATAAGAACGGCACTCTCCATTCGAACCCAGTTTCATCTCGGTACGCTTCGGTAGGAAATCGACTCGTTACCTCTCTGAAGATGAATCAGCTGGTACGGAGTTCCATTTAACGCTACCATTTCCAGCGTCTCCGTAGGATGGTTGGGAAACGTCCGGAGTAGTGACGGTACTTCGTTCAACACACGTCACCCCACGGGTGGACTCACATGAGGAGTAAGTCCGTCAGAGGTTCCACTCAGATGTGGAAGATTCCATAATTCCCACGAGACTCGGAAGAACTTCGGATCATGTCTGGAACTTCCTGTTCTCTCCAGCACTTTTCTGTTCGGTTCTGCCCTCCGAACTGAACTGCTCTCCCACCGCACTGGTTGGAACTAGGAAGTGTCGACATTTAAAGAGTTCTGTTTCCGGTTCATTTGGGAAGTCCTGATTGGCTGAAAGAGCTAATCAGGGGTGTGTTTTTTATGACGTAAGAGGTCACTAGAAGTCAGAAAAACAGAAAAATGTTTTGGAACAGACAGAAAATGTTTTTGAGACAGACAAGAGAAATGTTTAGGCGAGTTGGGAGGAAACAGGTGCCAGCTTCTCTGTTTACGTCTGAGAGGATTTAAAAACATGACAGTTCGTTCCAACAAACTTGTTTGCGTTTGTCTCCGACGTTTGACCGACTTACAACCTGCTCATTTCAGACAGAAGATCAAGAAAATGAATAATTACACTGTAACAGACATTAACTAGATTTCTACTTTGAATGAGGATTAAAAATCATTAATACTGTTTCACAGTTGATTTAAAATAAGTAGTTCACTTCAACATTTAAAAATGATTTGAATTAAACACACTTTTGATTATCAAGACATTTGTAACATAGTAATGATAATAGAAAAAGAGAGTGTTCTTTCAATTGATCAGTGCAGGACACTTAGAAAGTCTCTGGATGGACTTTGTGTTTCTGGACTCAAATCAATGAAATACAGTTCTTGTCCCAGGAAGGCCCTCAGGGCCAGATTTGACCTGAGGCTTAGTTCACTACACAGAGGAACATCTAAAACATGCAAGATGGTGGTCCTTGAGGACCAGGATTGCACATTAAATTAAAGCTTAAAGTGAACTTGTCTGTTGTAAAACCATCCTGAATCTGCTCACTCTTTCAAGACAGAAATAATGCAATTCACTAGTGTTGTAAATTTTGGTTACCGTATTTTCTGCCGTATAAATTGCATTTTTTGTGTGTGCATAATTTACATGCACTGTGACTTATAGGCTGAAGCAACATATTTATGGATTTTTCCCCCATATTTATAAAACAATTTTTGGCTGAGACATGACCGTTTTCATTCATTCTGACTGAAATTTTCTTTAAGCAGTACAACTTGCAGCCACATGATAGCAGCAGAGTAATAGTAGCAGTATGGCATGACGTTGTATTATGTAATAGGTAAACATGGCTATAATGACAAATTCAAAAAGATCGACAAAAACAACTGGACTTTATTTATTATACTTTATTATTTTTTTTATTGAATTTTTTTGAATGTACCATGTCCTGGATGATTGAGTATCTTCACCAGCTATTAATGACTCAATTAGCCTGCCTTAGCCTCTCCACCTTCCTTCTACTCACTGCTTGGAACTGTCAAACCAGCTGCACCGCCCTGGTGAAATGCAGCTAATTTGACCATTAACGTGCATTTTTTTAAGCAAACGTTAAAGTGAGACACCTTTGCTAGAATTTCGAGCAAACAAATAATTATTTAGGTGCTTTTCTTGTGAAATTTAAAATAAAAAAAAAACACTTATCTCCTCCTCTTTCCTCCCTCTGTGCACTTCTGGGAGCACAGAGGTAGCAAACTATTTTTGATATTTAGCTGATTTGACCATTAAGTGCATTTATTAAGCAAACGTTAGACTGGGACACACATTTGCTATTTTTTCGAGCAAACAAAGAATTGTTTTTAAGCGTTTATCTTGTTAAATTTGCACAGCGACTCGTCGCGTGCACGCATTTACTTCTGCGTATCGGTTTTTGAAATCCAGCTGATCTGATCATCAAAGTGCATTTATTAAGCAAACGTTAGTCTGAGACACACTTTTACTATAATTTCAAGTAAACAAATAATTGTTTTTAAGTGTTAATCTTGTTAAATTCCTGTTAAAGTCCTCCCATGCATGCTTCCGCAGCCACCAGTTCGCAGCCCATCGACTTTGGTTACAACACTGGCCCACATTTCCGGGTTGTCAGCTGTGACGCATAACAAACACGACGCGTCAGCGGTGATGCATAATAGATGTGACGTATATGGAGAAGTGACATATTTATGGATTTTTCCACTTTATTAGATGAATATGGACTGATGCAGCTTATAGGGCGGAACGACTTATAGGGTGGAGCAACGTGTACAGCAGAAAATACGGTAATTAATAACAAAGTATTGAGGCCACAGTTAAGAGTATTTTGCTTTATTTAAATATATTTACAATTGTTTAAAATCTTTCAACATTGCTCAATGATGTTTAGAACATTTTTAAGGTACTGTTTTATATAAAAAATGTTCAATACATTAAAATTACACGTTTTAACAGCAGTGTTCCCCTAGCAAATGAAGTATTTCAAGTAACATAAACATGAACAACATCATATCAATATGAATCCAAAGCTATTTGCCAGGGCAATATTGTTTTTAGTTTATTTTAAGGAGGGGGGATGACTTTTTAGGCAGGATCATTATCAGAGCTCTCCATGACCCAAGACAGATGTCAAAAAGCAGGCAGGGTAGTAGCGCATGAGACATACTTTTGTCCTCCCAGAATTTCACATACCTGCAATAAGAAAAAGTCAAACATATTTCAGTCAATCTGTATTGCATTCACACACTTATATTAACAAAAAATGTCCTTCATATATGTGTGGTACATTTACACACATATATTATGTATTCCTTATGAACATGAAAATGACAAATATCTGAAGTGAAATATATCTGCAGGTCTCCAGAAGCATTTCTAACTTCTGTAGTTTGTCCATTTCAGCTGTAGTTGGCATGGCAGTCTTGATTTTGTGTGTGACAAGGACGTGTCTCTGTGGCTGTCCATTTCTGCAGACACTTTTGACATTGTAACATTGTCACTTCTTAGCTCTTTTATTTTCATACAACTCATGGATTCTTCTTGATGGTGTACAATGAGGGAGGCTCATATGTACTGTCATTTTTTGTGGTTCTAAGGATGTCACACCACAAAGCTAATTGGCCTGCAATTTGTAGCAATCCACTTCCAGACATAGCATTTGTTAGCTTGTCTTGCTTTTGTTTGTCTATTTTTTCTCCCACATGCAGTATCCAGCCTCGTCTGCAGAAGCCTGCTTTCTGCATTTTGTTACAGTGGGCGATTTGGCGGGCATCGACGGTGTGTTTTGAACTCAGGTGATATTTCAGGCTCGAACTACTCCTGTAGTGATAGTTTAGCACTGCAGTGCTTACATATAACGTTACTTCTATCCAACCTGCCATCGGGAAAAGTTTTAAAATAATAAAACCCATGTAAAAGTCTGGTACCTTTCTTCATGTTTCCGTCCTGCTGGCCGCTGCTCAGTTTGGTTCACGTGAGTGCTACATAGCTGAAAAAAACAAAGGCTCTCATTGGTTGAGATGCACAATGATGGCCTTTCCTTGGTTGAGACAAATGATGATGCTCATCCATAGTCAACAATGATCAAAATCCTGCCTCCCATGACCGAATGTGTGTGTGGGTGTGTGTTTTAACGCCGTTAGAATTTTTTTGTTGTTAATCATTGGCTAATGCATTAATAATGAGTTAATTTGCCTATATATATATATATATATATATATATATATATATATACATATAGATATGTGTGTGTGTGTAAAGTGCAACAACATGATTGAGTGTCGCACTCTTTGCAGATGTTCCGCACAATTAAAAAGTTGTACTAAATCCTGGTGGAAACACTGATTTACCAGTTATCACAATGCTGCTTGAACTTCTACATTTAAAAACCAAAACAATAACCAGACCTGTGGTCATTTGAAGGAAAAGCAGTCATGTTGGCATTCTGAAACATACTGCAAGTTGTGAGCACTTGATATAAATAAGTGGCGTGTGTTGTAAACTTGTAAATCTTCAGAAGATTTTTATCTCTACTTTCTATTTTACCCTTTTGCTCTAAAGACAAATTATTTATTTGGTTTAAATGAAACATACGTGTTAAATAAACCAACAAAACAAAGATGCAGACGTAACCCCAAAAAGCACAATGATGCTGTAATTGTTCTTATGAAGCAGTTCCTGACTTGATTGAAATTAGTGCACTGATTTGAGTCCCTCACTGTGCTACCATGGCTTGGCTGTACTGGTACATAAGTGCAGCTTTCGCAACCAAACGGGCTGTTCAGGCAGCTTTGGCTGACAAAAAGAATAGATGTGGCAGAGTTGGCCCCTCTGTTTTCAGAGCGGGAGTTTCACATCCTTTACAGTTGACTGCTCTTCAAAAGGACGAGCCATTTGTCAAAGATGCTACAGGAAAGGTGACTTCATGTTGGAGCTGAGCTGGGCTTCCCCTATCACACACACATACAAACAAATGCACAAAGAGCTCACACATCACGTTGTACAGGAGCAACAGTAACTGAGCCCTGATAGGCTGATTAAGACTGCTGAAATGCCAAGAAAAAAGCAGTTCACTGAATGCCAGACAGGGAGGCAGCACCCAAAACAAAGTGATGTTACAGCTAGACTCTTACTGTGATCTTGTATTAAATACTGGATGATGTGAAGAGCGAAAAATGTGTAGCTGTGGCTTCTGCAACTGGATCCTTGGAGATTTATTTCATGGTAATTACCAGTTATTTATCCATAGTCAAGGAAGACATTTAGATTGTAATTCATTATAAATGATACATCAGTTACATTATGTAAAATAATTACATTAATGGGGCGTAAAAAATTTAAAACACCAACCTCAACATTATTTAGATTTTTTTTTTCCTTTGATAGTTGTGTAGTAACTAAAATAATGCTTGTTGATTCAGAGATGTTCACATAACACAACCTGGTAAAGACTCCCATTTGGTCCTTAGCTGAACAAGAAAAAGGACAAGGCCACACTATTGCTACTTCTGTGTTAAGTTTAGGATTCTTGTTGAGATTAAAAGTGTGATCTGGCAGAGATGGGTCCTCATTCTTTGATAGTTGCAGATGCTTTGAATACAGACTGACCCTCTTCACACTAGAAACAAGTTGTAGGTGAAAGCTCTTAAATCATAGCTCACCTTTGTTTTGAACTGTTTTGAGAGGAACATTGGTGTTGTAGACCATGAGCCTAAAATACATTCAGTTCATGCTCTTCCTCTGCATTATTAGAGGTTGCTCTGTGTCTGTTTTAAGCTTAGTTGAGTAGAAAGGGAAAACTGTGGATTTTTTGTCCTTTTCATTATCCTATTTTAGTTCTGGAGTGTTGATTTTTTGTACAACTGATTTAGTGAGAACAGAAGACATGCACACTCTTCATAAGCTGGTCGGCAGACGCTGTTACATGTGACTGAGGAAAATATTTCTACTCGTGTGCCAAGACCGTCTGAAGAGATGACCTTGTTTTCTGTTGCTTTTTCTTTCGTTTCTGTTTGTTGATACACGAGCATATGAACAAATGAGCTCAGTTTAACTTTAATGTGCTGGGCTTAATCAATATATTGGAAAAAAGTATTTTAGTTTTTCGTTTATCCTAAGAATTAGCTTTTTTGTTTAGATTACAATAAAAGTTGTGCATAAGATTTGAGGTTTAGGCGTTTTGTCTAAGCTGCTTTGTTTAAAGAAAATGCTGAAGTAATGATTACTGGCTTTCAAAATAGCATCTCTTTTATTTCAAATTATTTGCTTTCTGCTTTAAACACATAAAATTTATTAGAAAATGCTAGTATGCAAGTGTTATAAATTCTGCATCTCTGGTGAGATATATTATCACATATTTATTAATAGACATCTCTTCTGCAAGCTGTCATTTTCAAGAGGGGTCGAGTATGGCAGCATATCATAATGTTAGAAAACTATAGATTTGTATTAACATTATTTTTTTTAACATTCCGACTCAAGTGTCAAGGGTCCTGATGGAAATAAGTCTTAAGGTCATAGTTTTGGGGCTCACATTAAGTTTGGTTGTTTTGTAAGCTGTAGTTTATAGTGTGAAAATGTGTCAAGTGCACGAGGGCTTTGATAAGATTAGTCTAATTTAATCACCGTACCTTGTCATACCTCGTGCGTGAGTAGCCTCTCTCTGTATTTGAGACCGGAAAAGTATGCAGACCCAAATCTCTCTGGACGTCCGCCCTAATCCCCTCATGTGCTGCGTCCACACGACACGGCAGCAAATCAGGCTCAGACAAAAAAAAGGCGAGAGGTGCTTCTTAGCAGGAAGTTACAGATCTGCTTATCAAACTCAGTCTGTACACGTGTACATATTTTATCTTTGGCCTGTCTGTACTATAGCATCACAAATCTTTTTAAACTGATTCATTTGACTGCTCTCTATGTTTCTTTGTGTTAATCAATGGCTTTGTTTTAAACTGTTTTTTTTTTCAACTTAGCCCTTTTATAGTAAAAAAAGGAAAGAAATTGTAATCTAAATCATACAGTGATCGGTTGCAACACAAAATCAACCTGCTCTAGCCTCATTCACGAGTCGCTTTAGTCCAGGACTGAAATCTGGCTACCTCAGTCCATTCAGAAGACACACCAGGGTGGCAAGGGGGTCAGAGACAGCCTACCTCTGTTGCATCTCTGTGCCTCTGATTGAGGTAGTAACAGAGTCAGGCTGGCCAATGTGTGAATCTTTTTTAAATTAAAATAAAAAAACTTGTAGAGCTGCGGCTCAGTAATGTGATGAACTGATATTAGTTGTGATCACTTGCTCATAGGATTAAACGACAACAAACAGATTTATTACCCAGGGAATATTGATGATAACACACAGCAACTTTGGGGTTAGTTTTAAAAAATAGTTCACTGCAAACAAGATTGCTAAAGTGAGTTAATTAATTAAGTTTAGTAAATTTCACGAGGGAGGCATGTGACACATATTTAATCCATCATGCTCTGCTTTACCCCAGTAAAATTAGGCTCTATTCCGCTTTTATTTCCACTCGGCCCACTTCATTTCTAAAAGCTCACATCTGAGTGGGATGTGGCCGGCTTCATCTATGATTTATGAAAGGCTACAAGAAGCTTAAAGATGAATTGCTCTGTGAGGCCATTTTGCAGAACTGTGTTCTGAATATGCCTGATGTAAAATTGGTGTACCAATTTTAGCAAAACTTTCAGAATGTAATCGGATGCACATCTACAACCAGATTCAAGATGGCTGCCAGAGCTAATCGACCTTAGCCAACACAGAAATGACGACAACTCCGTCAACTTTACAAATTGTGAGGTCAAATTTGGTACGGTAATTTGCTGCCAGAGCTGTAAAAGGTAACATATCACAAGATTTTTATTTAAAACATTGGTCTGAAAGGCAGCAAATGATATGCATTCATAGCAAATGATATGCATTCGTGGAATGTTAATTTTTTAAGATTTCTATAGTTATTCATGAGCTATTTTTGTGGTGTGGTGGGACATTGTAAAATACTTTAATCATCATCATGTAAAATCTTGTCTTGCATTTCAGGGATCTTTGGTCAAAAGTTGGAGGAGACAGTCCGATACGAGCGCCGCTTTGGGAACAAGCTTGCCCCCATGCTGGTTGAGCAGTGTGTGGACTTCATTCGGCAATGGGGTCTTCAAGAAGAGGGTCTATTCAGGATGCCAGGACAGGCCAACCTGGTCAAAGAGCTGCAGGATGCCTTCGACTGTGGGGAGAAGCCATCTTTTGATTGGTAAGGGAAAATGTGACCATACTGTCTGATCAGTTTGATCTGTTTTGTTTTTTTGAATGTCCAGAGGACAAGATTTAACTTTTTTAGATTTTTCTATCTGGATTATTGAGCCTGCATCAGGATATACTGTCTGATCAAATTTCCTCTACGATTTTTAATAACCACTGAGATCTGCACCTTTGAAATGACTCTGGTCACATCTCATCTAATAAAAAAAGTATTCTGAAAAGGATAAGAAGGCCACGCTGTATAGCAGCAGCTACGCGCACTCCACCCATCTTTCGGATGACTGTACAGACATGTTCTCATTGTATCTTGGTACATTGATAATAAAGCTTATTCTGATTCTGATTCTGATTAGAGAAATGATGATGACCAAGCTCTTAAATGCCAGTTTTGCACATATATATAGCCATATTCATATGTATCCCTACCTCAAGTTGACAGAGAACAAGTGGTAGAATATACTAGCCCTGTACTTTGCAGCCTGGAATGTGTTTGTTTTTCCCCCATTCATAGCAAGAGGTATTGTAAAAACTCTTAACATGTAGGAAGTGGAAGAGGATGAAAATACCATTCAAAACAACTGGACAATCAGAAGGCTTATCCAAGTAGGCTACATCCGGTGAGCAAGAATAAACAAAAGCTGCAAACAATCCTGAGTGAAACAGTGTTAGGGTAGATAGACAGGAACGAGCTGAGGTTTGATCTGGTGGAACTGAAATCAGAGATTTATCGCCACAGCTTTTGACACACTCAGTTGTGAGATTTTAGCCAAAAGAAAAGCTTGAACTGAAGAAAAAAAAACATTTTTACCTGTCTATTGGGTGTGTGTGGATTTTGACAAAAATGTAACTGTTTCCTCTTGGTCTTGAGCTTAGGTTTGCAACAAACAAAGAGATTTAGGTGAAACTGAGATTAAATTGTTACTTATTTTACTCAAATCCTACAGTATAGTACTGTTTTTTTGTGCCTTCATGTCATTCTTTGTAAATTAAAATGTCAGTCTGCTTCAGTCTCATCAGTGTCTTGTCTCCTTCAACAGTAACACAGATGTGCACACCGTAGCCTCTCTTCTGAAGCTGTACCTCAGAGAATTGCCCGAGCCCGTCATCCCCTTCCAGAAGTATGAAGAGTTCCTGGCCTGTGCCAAACTCTTAAGCAAAGATGATGAAATGGTAGGAAATAGGAAACTTCACATGTTGCCTCACAGACTTTATCCCTATACCCAAACATTTGCTAGCTTCAGTTTGTTTAACAATAGCACTGAATTAATCCTGTTCTAGGGCTTGAAATTTGGTCTCCAGAGTCGTCCCTGATCCGCTTGGATGTTTCTTCACACCAGGATTGTGTTGTGTCTGTCTTGATTTTTGGAATATAAATAGGATCTTTGTCACAGCATGTGGCACAGGCAGAAGCAGAGGCTAGAAAATGTGCTGCTGACTCCAAAGCTTTTTTGTAATAACAAGCCTTTAAGTGTTTAAACATTTGATTTTTGTGTGGATTCCTGTTTTTTTAATTCTTCTGTGTAGATGAAAGTTTACACAGTCTTAAACATTTTATGACATAATGAAGAAAAAAAAACATTTGAGTTTCTGGGTTGCTGCTTTTTTTTAGGTTTTTAATCTTGTTGGACTTCTGGTTTGACATAACTTTAAATGAAAAAGATTCACAAATGCTCACTTTGTATAATATCACAAAGTTGTTCAAAGCTTTCCAACTTTTTCCCATTAGGTACATTTTAGTGTGTAAAATTGCAGAATTTGTTCAAGTAACAACAAGTAAAGTTTCTTTATTTGTCATATGCACCACGTGTGGTACATGTGGTGGAACAAAATTGTGTACACAGGGTCCCTGTTACATCCAACAAAAGTATAAATTGTTAAGAAAAACAGTAATAAGACCTAAGATATGAACTAAGAAATATGTTAAACAAAAAATACGCAAAGTACTAATAGTACAAAAACAATACTCAGTGTAGTCAGGATGATACAGTTAAAATCTGCTTGCATAAGCTAGTGGCATATTTTATAAGATAAAGGATCTGAATTGTGGAAAATTATTTTGTGATGGACTTGCCACCTGTCCAGGGTGTCCCTCCACTCTCACACAGTGACTGCTGGATATGGGCACCAGTGACCCCCGTGACCCAAAAAGGCAGTTAAAGATAATGGATGTAACAAGTAAAATATTAACAAACCTGTATCAAAAGATCTGTCACACAAAATTAGTGGGGTCGACAAATTTTTAAACCAGCTGGATCTCCCCTGTCTGGGTAGATTGCATAAAGAGAAACTGATTAAACCAGTTTTAATTCAGGAAATTGATAGAGTTATGTCCTCTTTAAAACTGAGTAAATCCCAGGACCTGATGGGTTCCCAGGGGAATGGTACAGGTTGTTTAGGGAACAATTATCACCAATGATGGTTGAAACCTTTAACTTTGTCTTTAGGGAGGGTGTTTTTCCCCTGTCTTGGAGGGAGGCCACTATTTCAGTAATACCCAAGGAGGGGAAGGATCTGACAAAATGTGAGTCTTACAGACCAATTAGTGTTTTAAATCAGGATTATAAAATATATGTTGCTGTGTTGGCAAAAAGGATGGAGGAAATACTGCCCCATTTAATTGATGAGGATCAAACCGGGTTTATTTCAGGTAGCCAAACCCAAGATAATATACGGAGGATCCTCCATACAATAGAACACGTAACAAAGAAAAAAACAAACAGCTATACTGCTAAGTAAGGATGCAGAGAAAGCCTTCGATTCTGTGAGATGGGAGTTTATAAAGTTATGGGAAAATTTGGTTTCTATGATTTTTTTATCAATAGCATACAGACACTATACACATGTCCTATGGCAAGAATAAAAGTTAACAGTAGCCTCTCTGGAACTATACATCTAAGACAGGAATGTCGCCAGGGTTACCCAGCCAGCCCAGGGTTATTTAGCTTGTTTATTGAGCCGCTTGCTCAAGCTATAATGCAGGATCCAGAATTTGGAGTTCCCAGACTGATGGAATTGTTGCAAACATACGGTGACTTCTCTGGCTATACTTAACATTGTAAAAACACAAGCCCTGGTTTTTAATTTCAATACAACAGCCAAACTTAAAATCAAATTTAAATTTAATTGGGGCTCTAGCTCTATCAAATACTTAGGGGTAGTAGTTACAAAAGATTTATCAGAGCTTTATGAAAAAAATTGTCAACTCATTAATGTATGTATAAAAGAGGATTTGGTTAGCTGGGCTTCTTTACCTCTTGATTTGGGCAATAGAATTATGTTCATAAAAACAAATATTCTGCTTAGAGTGCTCTACCTTTTCCAGTCATTACCTGTTCAAATCCCTGACAGTCAATTTAGAGAATGGTACGAGGCCATTTCTCTCTTTGTTTGGAATGAAGGAGCGCCGAGGATAAGATATAAAACCTTACAGTTGTCTAAGTCTTGAGGAGGGATGGGCTTACCATGCCTTAAAGACTATTATATCAGCACAGATAAAATCACTTATCCTCTGGTGTGATTTTGATTATGTAGCAAAATGGAAGTTCATCGAGTTGTCACGTAAATAAACCTTTACAGAGTTTACTAAGTAATCCAAGGGCTATTAAACAATGCAACTTTCAGAACCAGTGGGTAGAATTTTCATTGAATATTTGGTTAGACCTGGTCAAACAATTTAACATTCAAAAAGAAATGTGTGTGTTAATGTGGCCAGTACATGACTTTGACTATGAACCAGCTCAAATTGATATGAGTTATGTACAATGGGAAATGCAGGGAATTACTACATTGTGTCTTCTATTAGATAATGTGGGACTTATTGATTTTGAAACTATGTCAGAAAGATATGGCTTAGGTCGACAGGACTTTTATAAATACATTCAGCTCCGTCATTTTTATGTGGACAATATAAAAAACCTTCCTTTAGAGAAGGTATCATTAATGACCAAAATGTTTATTAAGGCTTACAAATCAAAAGGACTTAAGAAAATAATTGGATAAATTTACTGGAGTTTAATTAAATTAAAGTGTAATTCCACACATTATGTTAAAGAGAAATGGGAGAATGAGCTGGATATTAGTATTACATCCAAGGAATGGGAAACTATAATTGAAACGTAACATACCACTACAAATTCACAAACATGGAGAGATTTCTCTTGGAAAAATTGTATCAGATATTTTTGAACCCCAAAACGGGTATGTAAACAGACTGGTCTTCCACCTGTGTGTTGGCGGGGATGTCGTCATTGCCCTGCTGACCACTACCATATTTTTTGTGGTGTCCTATCCTTAGACCATTTTGGGAGAGTGTTCGCCAGACTGTTAGGGAGGTTTTGGGTTATGATATTGAATTTACATGTTTTTTTTTTATTTGGGAAGTATGGACCCAAATATACCAAAAGCTGATAGATACCTCCTAAAAATCATGATGCCAGCAAGCAAGAAAGCTATAACTAAGCAATGGCTTGGTGTGGACCCCCCTACTATCAAACAGTGCATGGACATTGTTAATAATATTTGGAGCATGGAGCATTTGACATTTAAATTAAAATTGCAAGAAGAAAAAGGGAAGGCTTTTTGGGGAAAAATGGGACACACACTTTATGGTAAGAGATGACAACCATCATTACTTTAAAACGTTCTCTTTTTTTACGGTCAACATTGGTGTCCTTGGTTTCTAAGATTTCTTGTTTAACCCCAAAATGTTTTACCTGATGTGAATATACCCCCCTTTTTTTTCTTTATTATTATAATTTCATTATTATTTTATTTTCTTTATTTTATTTTCCTTCCTTTTACTATAGTGTTGCTTTATAATGTAAAATGTTTTGAAGAAAAAAATAAAGTAATTAAAAAAAAAAGATAATGAATGTAACAAGTAAAATATTAACAAACCTGTATCAAAAAATCTGTTGCGCATGTGTTTGAGTTTTTATTGCCTGAAAATTATCTTTTGTCTGCAGGGTATGAAAGAATTAAAAAAGCTTGTAGAAAGTCTACCTCCAGTGAACTACAACCTACTCAAGTACATCTGCAGGTATTGGCTTATTGCTGAGTTGGGTGAAATGTGACTGTGACAAATGATTACCAGTAAGAAGTTGTTGTTGTTTTTTTAATCCTAGATTTCTTGATGAAGTCCAGTCTTATTCAGGTGTGAATAAAATGAGTGTCCAAAACTTGGCTACAGTGTTTGGTCCAAATATCTTGAGGCCGAAGATTGAGGATCCAGTAACAATTATGGAAGGTCAGTGTTTGTGTGCAATAATCACATTTTTATTTTGTTTTATTTCTAAAGCACATGTGTTTGTGATGTTTGGTTTCATTTTCTCAGGAACGGTTCTAGTTCAGCAACTCATGGCAGTTCTGATTGGTCGCCATGATGTTCTTTTCCCGAGAGACGAAGATGAGCCGACATTGCTCGAACTCGCCAACAACAATATTGAGCTGCCAAAGAGACAGGCCGCCACAACTACCTCACCCATCACCGCAGTGTCCCAGAATGCAGAGAACAACAACACACAGGTGGGCCGGCAGTGTGCTTGGGAAGCACCCGAGTTTCATTCAAACCACCAACAAGTCGACAACAGGGGATCCTCGCGATCAGCAAGTCCCCGAAATGTTGTCCCAGGACACTTTGACATGACCCGGAGTCCACCGCTGACCATAAAGAAGAACCCAGCTTTCAGTAAAGGCAGTGGGATTGTTACAAATGGCTCCTTTAGCTCCTCCCCCTCCTCAGATCCCACTCTAGATAAGAACCAGATCATAATGGTAGGTGGGAATTTACCAGTTCGTCGTAGTGGGACGCTAAAAGGCTCTGGAACGAAAATGGGCACCAGTGGGGTGACGAGCGGAGGCAGTCCTGCAGGGAATGGGACTGGCATCTTGCGCGTTGGCATCTCAGGGTCTGATGGGATCACAGGAAGTCTGAATAATCGTAACGGTCTCTGGGTACAAAATGGCTGCGTCATGCTCCGAGAGAACAATAAAACACGCCACTGCTCCAGCGGGGATCAAACAGCCAGTCAGAATCGTCTGTCTACATATGACAATGTGCAGTTAAATCACCAGAACCTGCAGAATCAGACCACCAACACATGTCTGAGCAGCAGCTGTGAGGACAAGCAGAGTGTGGACAGCGCCACTTGGTCCACATCCTCCTGTGAAATCTCCCTCCCTGACAACACCAACTCCTGCCGCTCCTCCACCACCACCTGCCCCGAGCACGGCTTCTACAGCGGTCACTATGAGGACTTGGATGGACCAGCACAGGATTGTGAGCCTCTCCAAACTGGTGGAGGAGGAGAGGGGAGTGGCAGGAGCAACAATGGGGAAGGAGATGGAGATGGAGCTGGGGGGAGCAGTCGGGGCACCAGCAGTAGTGAGACCAGTGAGAGTTTCACTGTTGGTAATGGACCTGGCAGCCACAGCGCTCTGCACAGTCTAGTGGCCAGTCTTAAACAGGAGATGCACAAACAGAAGTCTGAGTACGAAACCAGGATCAAAAGGTAGGGTTTTTAATTAAGTTGCATTTTTCAGTAAGAGGTTGGTACCTGGGGAAATATTAAGTGACTTTTTGTCAACAAATCAACATTGTTTTCAACTCTCACAATTATACATGAAATACAAACATTATATTTTCAGTTCTGAATTGCTTAACAAGACAAACTATGAAGTATTATCCTCGTTACATTGATTAATATTATAAATGCAAACTTGTAATTAAGAACTTACAGAAAAAAGGTTAGTCTCATTGAGTCACAAGGACTCATTTTCAAGAGATAAACCAGAGCTAAGGTGCACACAACAATAAACAGCCATAAGATGCATATAAAATAAAAAGAAAATAAATATAAGTATAATATAAGTAAATAAATATAAGTAAATGGTAAATGGACTGTACTTATACAGCACCTTTCTATCTTATTTCAAGATACTCAAAGCTCTTTACAACAATCTGTGTTCTTGTTTACCCATTCATACAGCACTCTACATCTCTACAAAGCTAATTGAACAAATCATTCTAATGAGACTAATCAGTGCTTTTAGATCACATTCATACACTGATGGAACACACATCAGAGGCTATGAGGAGTTCAGTGTCTTGCCCAGGGACACTTTGACATGTGACTGCTGGTGGATTCGAACCCCCAACTCTCGCATTGGAGGACGACTGCTCTAACCACTCAGCCACAGCCGCCCGAAGTATATAAGTATAATTCTTGAAACAACATTTCAGGAGTTCTTTTGTGATTAGAATTTGCTTAAATCATGCTCATTAATTCTATTTTTTTTAATGACTTTAAAAACATTTGTCTCCTTAATTATTTTTAAAACATCTATAAAAAAATATATAAAACTCTCAGTAAAGGTCTAAATCTTTAAAAAAAAAATTTAATAATAATAATAATAATAATAATAATTACATAAGTTCTGACCAGAGAGCAGCTCTTAGGCTGGAACTGTATGATAGGTTTCTTGCTTTGAATTTCATAGTTTTAATCAATGTTAAAATCCTAAAATCTCAGTTAAACCAGTTAAAAGTAAAAGTACTCCTACGTCTGTGTTAAGGCATAATAAAATATTAATATAAGTGATAGTTACCACCTTGTTTCTTTCTTTTACCATGCCTGTGCATACACATCCATCCCCATTCTCTCTTCTCATGCGTTGTGAACCTCTTGTGCAGCTTGGAGCAGCGTAACCTGGAGCTGGAGACAGAGATGGTGAACCTCCACGAGGAGCTGGACCAGGAGAGGAAGAAGTATACAATGGTGGAAATCAAGCTACGCAACGCCGAGCGCGCCAAAGACGACGCTGAGCGGCGGAACCAGATGCTGCAGAAAGAGATGGAACAGTTTTTCTCCACCTTTAGTGACCTCACTGCAACCGGCAATGCCCCAGCCACCGACCCCCGCCGAACGGACCGCAACAACACCATCTGGATCCAGTAAAAGGAGGATGAAGAACTGCCTTTGAAGACTGAAGTTCATATACAAATGTCATCGCTGAAGAGCCTTGAATCAGGAAGTTGCTGCTGATTGAAGGAGTGGGGGAAATGATGTTGCAAAAATAATGGTCCACTTTCTTTTAAGAAATTGGAAGTGTACAGCTAATAAAGTGCACCTGTATAAATGTAGCATCACCTGGAGTGATGCTAAACTGATGTTCTCTGTATATATCATTATTTAAAAAACTTCATGGAGACTCTTTAAGCTTCCCTGAAACGCGTTTGGTGCTCACTGGTGCTGGAACAGAGCAGATAGGATCACCTCACAGTTTGGGATTATATTTGGTACTCTATTGTGTATTTAATGTCTCGAACTTGAAAGATGCAAGGGTGGAGGCAAAATGTGAAAGAATGGAAAAACAAACGTGCCAAACTTCACACAGATGTTGCTCTTTTTAACCCAGAACATAATGTTTGTGTCCAATATTCTATATGTATGTAGTGGGAAACAATGCAGACACTCAAATGTTTGTACAAAGGAAATGAAACTAAATCTGAAATGTTTGTGATATTTAAACAAAGTTATCAATGTGATATTTTATATTAAGACTTTTTGTTTTTGCACTTATGTCTGTCCAGCCTCTGCAAGTTGGTACTGACTGTTCTGTCGATGTGTTTTAAATTGGGGCGTATGCTGTAAATTTGCCTGTGCCTCTGTGCTGTTACATTTATTCATGACCAAAAAAAAGGAATCTGTTCTGTAAATATTTTATAGATTATTGAAGACACTGCTTGTTAGTCTGCACTGTGGTTTAACAAAAATTCAAATGGACACAGTGCAAGTTAAGTTAAGATGGACGGGAGTTTTTGTTGCTTGTGAAAAAAAAAAATCCACTTCAAGCCTGGTGCAAATCATCGATGGCGTATTTCACAGACAAGAGACAAAGATTGAATTCAGACTTGTAAAGAGATTTGTAGCAAAATGTTATAAATGTCTGTGGAAATTACAACAAATTGTCTGAATGAATGAGATACCAACTATTCCTTTAAAAAATAGCCCACAACCACAACAAGTTTTCACTCTAACCTAGTTTCAGAACAAAAAGATTGGAGCATCGTTTAAATATTTTAGGTGGGAATCTGTTAGAAAATTATGAACAAATTTAAATGTGATATTGGATTTTTGGCCGATATCTGATATGCCTATATGTTCAAACTTCTTTGACCGATAACCGATACCAATACCGATATTTTCCCCCTAGACCTACTTACAGAGACTACATTCATTCAAGCTTAATTTATACAGGTTAGCCTCATTGAGCCTCGAGGACTCACAAGAGAGACCTGTTTTTAACAAAGAATGATGACAACAGTAGACAACCATAGCTTCCTCTGCTGCAGAATTAAACCACTACATTATTCTGCGTGGTCTTTGTCAAATTGGCCTGTTACCAAATACAGATGCCAAAAAGGGGACTGAAAATGATGTAACACTTCAACTTGGATTATGTTTAATCTCAAATTTATTTATGCCATTTACTCTCTAACACAATAGCAACACTTGAACAGTTAAAATTTGTAAATTTTCACAAATCTAAACTCAACGATGCGCTTGATGTCATAACATTGTACTGGCGCTGCACGAATCCTTGTCACTGGGTTGTGGTATATAAACAGCGCCTTTTATATCGGTGAGTTATTTTGAGGGAAAGGCCGATATCCGATACTGAACTTTATCACTAATATCGACTGATGCAATACCATGCCGATAATATTGTGCATCCTTAAATAAAATCATAACTTTTGTAGATGTCTCGTCTTCAAACGGTGGTGCATCAAAGAGTTGTCTAGATCAGGTAATATATAAGTTCATTATCTTTCCACCCCACCTAAAAAAAAATGTAAAAAATGTATCACTTAGAATCAGCCAGCTGTAAGATGAGTGCATGAAGGTGCATGAGTCAACAATATTTGACCGTGCACAAAGGGACTTTGTATAAATGATGCGTAGTTATATATCTTAAAACAAAATGTCTACACACAGTGTGCATTTGCTTGTAGGCACAAATCCCGACACATCTGAGACTGCATGGATAAGTTCCTGTTGGCAGACCTGCTTCTGCTTCACTTCTAGAAAGACCAGATCCTGTTGAAAACCTGCTGTTGGTCATTGCAGGACATCTGGAACGTGTTGCATCGATGGGGAGAAACGTGCCTGAACAACCAAAGAAAGGAGAGAAGCCTGCACTTCTCCCTTTGCACCCTTCACCGTGAATTAATAGGCTCACTTGAGCTGTCGGGACATCTCTTTCTGTGAATTTAACACAAACGAGCAGATTATGAATCGAGGGCGAGGCGGAGACAACTGGGATACTGAAATATTTTCAAGACATAAAACAATAAAGATGAATTTACTCATGACTCTGTTGTTAATTTTGGGGTGTCTTAAACTTAATGGTACCACTTTACAATAAGGCTCCCTTTATAGATGGTTAATAAATAGTTCATACGTTATTAATTCCTCTATAAATCATTAACAATTGTTTATTATGCATTAATTAAGGGTGAGATAGAGACAAAACGGACCAGTTTCTTGCCACATAGTGAGTCAATTCTGTTCACCTATATATTTCATCTAGAGTTGTTATATAAACATTTCAGACTATTGTAAGCACAAACAATTGTAAACCTATTTAAGCATATAATATTATACTTTATCACTGCATTATAAGTATCTATAGTTGTACATACTTATAATGCAGTGCCATTTATGAGGTACCTCTTCAAAATCGTACTTTGTCCAAGTCTTGGAGGCTGGTGCAGTCCCATTATATTTAATTGTTTTTTAAATGCATTTAAAGAAATTTCTCAACATTTGTTTATTTATTTGAGTTTGTCTTTCAGTGCGTTTTTTTTTTGGTATTTCCTAATTGAACAATCTGCTTTTAATTTTATCTGTTCAACCCATCCAGGGATGACTGACCCTCAATGTTTGATCACCTTTAAATCTGACCCTCTTGAATTACAATAAGAAGCTCTCAATGATTCTTCTGCATTGTTGTCCTGAAATCTTTCAAAGTTCACAAATGAGGTGGTTTGTAAATCTTACTTGTGACTCTGAAACAGTAAAACTCAGCTCTGAACACACTATTAGAGGTTACACTCGCCAAGAAACACATTTAACTTTCTTTTTTCAGCTGCTCCCTTCTTCAGGGATTACCACACATTTAACTAGCTTGAATAAAAACATAATTGCAAAACATAAATATAGGTTTGGAAAATGATTAGTTTTTATTAGTTGTACATAAATCTAACAATTTATAAAAGTGAGACATTGTTCCACCTAATTATGATTTTTTTTTATTATTCATAGTTCATATTGTTTTAAGGTCATATACTGAAGGCTTGAAGTGCTGGTTGAACTCGTTCAGAGAACTTATTTATTTTGTGCCAGGTTTCATATTTAAAGTATCATCTCATTTAAACAGGATTTTATTAATTCAACACTTGTTCTATTTTAGTTAAGTGAAGCATCTAACTCATAAAGTACAGGAAGAAACTGACTAGTTTATTTAGGATTTTAGGCAGTTTTTTTATCCCATCTTTTGCATAAAAAAATTATTAGTCAAACAATTTTTCAAAATTCCTTACGACTTCACAAAGGGAGAAATCATTTACTACGTCTTTGTAAAAACGAACATTTTATTTTATTTTGACCATCAGGTCAGGCTACTGTTTAAACTCCTTCTGCCATTGAATTTCGTCTTTAATAACAACCATTAGAGTGTAGGTTTTGCAAAACTATAAATATACAAAACTGGATAGAAAGTGTAAAAAAAGAGCAATAAAATAAAATATTTATCTGCAGGATGAGCAAATGAAGCACTCAAAAAAAAAAAAACATAATAAAAAGAAATAATTATCATAGTCCAAGATCAAATTTTGTTTATTTTCAGTCACATACATATACTATTTGTACATACACAGTTCCTTTAAAATGTCGTGTTTACAGCAACAGCTTTCAGTTGTTTTGTTTGTTTTTTCATTTTCACTTGCGTTTATTTAGCTTTTTTTTTAATATACTTGAAACGCTATAGTCTGAAGCTTTAAGATCAGCGTGGAACAGATAGTTTCTTTTAGTTTTTCAACCTGACAATGTCAAAAGGGTAATTCGTTAAAACAGCACGGAGTAAAAGAAACGAGAGAGAGAGAAGGAGTCAGAAAAGAACCGAAGAACAACGTCACCTGATTCAGATGAGATATGCAGGGTTTCATCGTCAAAGATTTGCACAGTTAAGACTCTAAACATCGTAGCATCGCCTGACCCCTGCAGAAGCTTGCCTCCCTGTCTGAGTGCAATAAAAGGTTTATTGCCTTGTTGGATTGTTATTATTTACAAAGGAATTCTGAGACAAAGTCATAATCAGTAAGGTGGGAATCACTAGTAATGAGTCCGATGATTTTAAAGTACAAGACATACAGTAAGTATCCTAACGTGTGACGACTACTTTCTTTTTTTTTTTTTTTGTATTTGCAGTAACATTATGGCTAAAATGACAAGTCAGTCATCTTCAGATTACAAATCCGTTTGAGAGACATGAACTTCATTAGCTCTGAATATACAAAAGATCACTTTAACAAGGCCGTGGGAACTGGGGGTGCTCAGGGTGCCACAGCACCCCCTTTCAGATGACAAAAAAAGTAACCCCAAAATAAAAGTGAGTGAATGCGTAAACATGTGTTCACTAGTGTTACGTAGGTTTATCATGTAATTATATGTTGGGCTTAATGGGGTAAATGAACTTCCTGTTTGGGATAATACGACTTTTCTCACTTTAACAACACCTGCTTGTCTAAAATCCGTTCCCACGGGGACTCTTCAAGATCCTTGTGACAAATGTTAGGACTGAGCTTGACGGTTTTTCCTCATCAGATGGTTAATGTGGCTGAACATCAATACGTGAATTGGAAACGCACAGCTGCGCTCATTCTTCCATCAACACACTTAAAGCTGTCGCGCAGGAGTCAGGATCGTTTAAACTATCCAGATCTCAGATCACAGTTTTACTGCTGAATGTTGGCTCACTCCAAGCACACAATGAGCAGAGCTGCCGTGGCGTTGGTGAAAAATCATCCGTTTCTACATTCAGAGCTAACAAACACAACTCCTCTGTCCTTCAGATGCGTTAACCCAGAAGCACCTTTATCACAATAGAATTGTCTAATGGGGTGTCTTATAAAAAGATCAACAGTTCACATTCAGAAAAGAGGAGGGGAATAAACATATTAGGACATATTCATAGTTCTACTAAGTGACCGGGAACATGTCGGATAGAAGAGTGTGGAGACGATTCAAAACGCCCCCTGTAGAAAAACAGCAACACTACTGTGTGTGTTCATAT